ATCCATCCGTAACGTTTGTATGTACAACACACACACATATGTATATATATATCGTACTTACATAATTTATATTAAATTACTTACAGTTAATTTATTGGAGAAAAAAAAACATTATACGCTTATTATTATTATTATTATTATTATTATTTCGTTTGTACGTACATACATACATACATACATACATTATTTATATATACATAAATATACATATATAATTAACAAAAAAAAAAAAAACATTTCCTGAATGTTATATATATTTATAAGACGGCCATGTTGTACAATGATGATTAGTTATTCGTACGTTTTTATCATTATTATTATTATTATTTTAATGTACACATAAATTATTACATTTAATTCAATAATAAATTTTTTTTAAAATCGATATATCGATCGATATTTATTTAAATCGTTAAATAAAAAAAATTTTTTATTTTTCATTTTATTTAACTGTGCGTGGGAGGATAATAAAACTTTTTTTTTATTATTTGCACGACCGCATGTAAATTTTAAATAATAATAATAATAGTAATAATAATAATATTTTATAAATTTAACAAAATAACAATCGTAAAAAAATTTTTTGTTCTTTCCTTTTCCACTGACTGTACATAAATGACGTGTGTGTGTGTGTGTGTTTGAGTGTTTTTTATTTTAAAAAAAAAAATAATAATAATTAAAAAGAAAAGAATGATTCCGACGGAATGCAACAGATTAGTAAAAAAAATAAATAATAATAATTAACAATAAAATAAAATAAAATAACAATAATAATAATAATTTTTTTTTTCTTACATATTCAGGCGCGTGACAACGAACGAACAAACATGTAAATACACGTAATTTTTTATTTATTTTATTCATTTATTTTATTTATTTATTTATTTATGTACATTTATTAATCATCAATTGTATACATTGAAAAAAAAAACAAGTAAAAATTATTTATTTATTTATTTAACCGTCAATTAGTCACTTTTATTAAAATTATTTATTTATATGTCGAATTAAACGTTTGGAATAAAAAAAAGCACGAGGCGTCACGCTCTTTAATAAAATAAAAAAAAAAAATAATAATAATCACTTATTAATATTATTAAGATGATGATGATGATGATCATTTGGCAACGTTGTAAAGACTATTCATTGAATTAATTTAATTTTTTTTATTTTTCATTAAATTTTTAAATAAAAAAAAAAAAAATTAAGAAAAAATTTTTTTTCCGTTGCATTAAACATAATCGAAATCTAAATTCATTATTATTATTATTATTATCATTATCATCACCGTTTTTGCAGCTGCTATTGTGTATAAAACATACACAAATATATATATTTATATCAAATACAAAAATATATTTAAAAAAAATAAATTTAAAAAATTATCAAAACTAAATAAATAATTTCAACTTAATTCAAAGCGTTTTTTTTTTTCAATAATTATAATTATTATTATTATTATTACGCAAGCGGAATTAGTATACAGTATTGCCAACAGAAAATTTCAAAAACATTTCAAAAAAAAAAAAAAAACGAGAGGTAAAAAAAAGTGTTAATAAAAAGCAAAATTTAAAAAAATTTAAAAACCTTTAGCAAAAAAAATTAAAAACAATTAATTTATATATATAAATAATTCTATTATTATTATTATTATCATCGAGGAAAGCGAGCGAAAAAATTATTATTATTATTATTAATTACTTATTTATAATTAATTTAATAAAAACTTAACGACCAGAGTTTACATACATATATATTAAAAAAACAACGCGAAATGGGATTTTTCTTATCATTTCGTACAGTCTATAATAATAATAATAATAATATTTTTATGTGGCACGTTGCTGATTCTTCCATATTTCGGCCATTGTTCACGATGATAATAATGATGATGATGATGATGATAATAAGTAGGACACAACCGATATTCGAGGATTTATTCCAAAAGGAATCGGAGAATAGAAATTTCGAGATTGAAATGATGCTGGAAAACTTTTTAAAAATAAAAATTTATCGTCGATTGTTTTAAAATTCACAATAATAATAATAATAATCGGTTGTCGGTTGTTGTTGTTTTATATTAAAACAATCGTATTGTGTTGATTTTTTTAATGATAAGGAAGAAAGGTGGATAATAATTAAAAAAAATATATAACATCGTTAATTTTTTTTTGTTTTTGTTCTTATTATCATTATTATTATTTGTTCAAAAGTTTTTGTTTATAATTTTTGGTTTAATTTAAAAAAAGGGGGGAGGGGAGGGGAGGGAGAGGGGCATTGTTAGAATCGCAGGTAAAACATATAAAAAAAAAGAAATTTTACCCGTGTGAAAATAAGGGAATAAAGTGACCCGAAACCTTTTTTTTCCTCTGTAGTTTCATAGAGTAATAAATTTTTAAGGTAACAACTTTTTACATAAATTTATAAAATTAAACTTTTTTATTATAATAAAACATTTTAAGAAGCATTTAGTAAACGTAATAAGTGTCTTTCTTTCTTTTCTAACTTTTTTTTTCTCCAGGAGGAAGAGCCTTAAGGGCCAAGAGAAAAAGAAAAAAAATGGAAGACGTTTAAAAAAAATTTTTCGTTTCACGGGTAGAGGTGGAGAGGTGAGTGAGTGAGGGGTTAAATGTTTTGGAAGAGGTGAATGAAGGAATGAATGAAATAGAAACAAAATCACGATGACTGGAATGATGCTGGAAAAGAAATAAAAAAAAAGGTAATTTTTAAAAGTTTTTTTCAAATGCCCCATCATCATCATCATCATCATCATCACTTCATCAACATCTTATTTATTAACTTTTTATTATATATATTTTTATTACAACTTTATTTATTATCATTATTATTTTCTTTAAAAAAAACTCCGGAAAAATTATAAAAAAAATAAAACGTGAATTTTTTTTCCACACACTTTTCCACACCCTTTCCTCCTCCCCTCTTCTTTTTTTCATCTCCCCAACACTTTTCCCATTTACGGCACCGAATTTTCACTCAACTCCCTCCCCTCTACCGGAAAAAAAACGAATTAAAATTTTTTTTTTTTTGTAAATTAAATTATTTTAAGTGGTAAACAAACAACAACAACAACAACTCGTCACTTATCATAATTATTATTATTATTACTGTAATTTTTTTTTGTTGTTGTACAAACGAACAATGACGGAAGAAGAGGTAAAAAAAAAAAATGAAGGGAAATGAAAAAAAAAAGCGATAAAAGAAAAAAGGAAAAAAAGGAAAAATTATATGTACATTACGAAAGAGGTCAAATCATCTGAGTGTAAAAACTAAATGGAGCTCGCAAAACCGGAAACGGGAAAAAAAAAAAAATTTTTTAAATGTAAAAAAAAGTTTTTAAATAAATTACATTTAATCCAACAAACAACGCCGCGTGCGTGTTTTACGCGCGTTTTTTTAAATTAAGAGAACACGCGTAATTTATTACGACCGTTACAAAATGTTAAATGTAGGAAAAAAAAATTTTATTTTTTTTTTCGCGTTGCTTACTAATAATAATAATAATAATAATAATAATTCTCGCGGAATTAATAAATCAATGAATCGATCAATCAATCAATCAATCAAAAAACCGAATAATTAATGACGTACGATATATATAAAGTTTTTATCATTATTATTAAGTAATAATTTACAACGAAATGAAAAAAAAAAAAAAAAAAAAAAAAAAAGAAAATTGAGGGAGGCGATTGCGAAAGGGGAGGCGTGGAAAAAAATTAAAAATGGCGGCACGAACACACACACACACACACCCCGCGAAAATCAATCATCGATTAAATCGATCGATAGATCAATAAAAAAATTTTTTAAAAAGTTGTCGTATCAGACACTTTGATCGAATAAACAATGGCGTTCAATTTAAATAAAAAAAAATAAAAAACCGGAAGCAATGCGATATACGCCGTGTATTTTGACGTGACGTCATTTCCTCTTTAAAATTTTTTTTTTTTTTTTTATTTTCAAACGTGACACAATTTCACTGGCAGTGAAGAAAAACATTCGAAATTTTTTTGGCTTCATCATCATTTAAAATATTAATATAAATATATATATACACGTAAAATTTTCTTTTTTTAATCGTAAATAATATATATAAATTATAAAAAGTATTTTTAAAAAAATTAATAATAATAATAATAATAATATTTTCTTTACCTTTTTTTTTAATCAATAAAAATCAGTCCTCCTAAAAATTTTTTTTTTTTTTTTTTTTTTTTTTTTTTAAATCAAGCGAATTATTTAATATTAATTTTTTTTTTTTTTATTACAAAATTGTGGTTTTTTTAATAATAATAATAATGATAATAATAATAATAGAAAATAAAAAAACGAACGAAGTAACGCGTGTATTGTATAAAATGGTAAATTATACTAGGTGTTAGATTCTCGCGTTTGTTTTATTATTGTTTGTGTCGATCGATAATCCGCCATTTTGTTTTGTTTTTCCACCATTTTGATTTTTTGTTTTGTTTTGTTTTTCCACCATTTTGATTTTTTGTTTTGTTTTGTTTTTCCACCATTTTGATTTTTTGTTTTGTTTTGTTTTTCCACCATTTTGATTTTTTGTTTTGTTTTGTTTTTCCACCATTTTGATTTTTTGTTTTGTTTTGTTTTTCCACCATTTTGATTTTTTGGTTTGTTTTTGTTTTTATAAATACACACATTTGTTTTTATATTATTATTTTAAATAATTAATAATAATAACTTAAAAATTAAATTTAAAAAAAAATTAAATTAAATGAAAAAAAAAAAAAACGTATAAGTTAAATACTGAAATGTGATTATTAGTATTATTATTACCTTTGAAAATTTTCTTTTTTTTACGTAGGAAGCAAAAAATAATTTTCCTGTTTGTTTCCTGTTTGTTGTTGTTTTTCAATAACTTGATGCGTAAAAAAAAAAAACGTGGAGTGATCCAAAGGGGATGATGATGCTTACAACGGATGACGTTTCATATGAAGAGCCAAATGATCCGAACGTGAAAAACAACGTTCGCAGTGACGACATTTAAACGGTTTCGCTCCCGTGTGTTTCCGGTAGTGACGTGTCAATTCATCGGATCTTGCAAACCTCCATTCGCATCCTTCCCAAGAACATTTGTATGGTTTTTCACCTAAAAATAAATTTAAAAAAAAATTTTTTAAATCATCTCTTCTTATTCCCATTTTCCCGCCATTTTATTGTCGAAAAAAAAAAATTACGGAAGCGGAAGGAGTAGGAGGATGGGCGGGAGGATAATAAAATTTAAACGGTAAAAAATAATTGTATTACGTCATTAATATTATTTAATTAATGATGACACAATTATAAATTACGTAATAAATTAACAAATTTATTTTAACCATCTCTCTCTCTATTTCTGTATCTTTATCTCTCTCTCTCTTCTCCGATTTTCTTCCTTTATCCGGGTTTCTTACATCTTCTTAATAATTTTTCAAAAAATTCACTCAGCCGTTCAATCCTGTTAAACTTTGATAAAATACAACAACAAAGACTGAATATTTTTCATCTTATGATTTTCCTACTCGGTAAATTAAATAATAATAATAATAAGAATATTAATTATAATAATGATGATGATGATGATAATAATATTTATGAATTTGTGTGTTTTAAAATAACGATACAGAGTGTGGAAAAAAAAAGAATCTTTGGAAAAGGAAATGAAAACATTTGAATAATGAAGAAAAATTTTTTTCCTCCTTCTCGTCCCCTCCCACCCTTTCTTCCTCCTCCTCCTTTTTGTACTCGCCCTTCCCCCCATTCCTCACCTCTCATTCACTTTTCGTTCCTCGTACAAAATAAAATCAAAAATCGAATTCGCGGTTTTTAATTGAAAAAAAAATCGTTTTTCGTTTAAAAGAATAAAAAAAATTTTTTTTTTTTTTTTGGAAAGTTGGCAAAACAAACGAAAAAGTTTTTACAAAAAAAAAAAAAAAATGGCCGACGGGAAACGGAAAATAAACTTTTTTTTTTGTCTTCTTACAATTTTTAGCTTTTCCCATCCGTATTTATTTTCTTCCACATACTTTGTTTGGTCCATTAATTTATCCAGCATCCTACCGAGTTTAAAAAGTTTATTAAGTCTTTTTTTATTATTATTTTTTTTTACTCTTTACAAAAAAAAAAAAAATAGGAAGTGACGTCAATTTGACGACATTTCCGTGTCGATTTTTTTTTTTTAAATAAAGCGTTTAGATTGTTGTGAATGTTATTTCAAAAAAGAAAAAAAAAATTTGACAAACACACACAAAAAAACAGATTGATCGTGAATAATGGTTAAAATGGACACGACTAAAAAAGGAAAAAAAAGGAAAAAAAGAAAAAGTGAAAACAAGTATAAAGTTGACAAGTTTTTAAGGATAATAAAAAAAAAAAAAAGGTAAAACACATTAGAAATGGTTTTTCGTTTTGGGATAAAACGGAAAAGAAAAAAAAATTCCTTTAAAATTTATTTTATATAAAAAAGGAAAAGGTTTTTTTCTTTCTTTTTCTTTCATTTTTCCTTTTAAACTTTTTCAAAGGAAAAAAGGGAAAAAAATTTTTTTTTTCATTTACGTGTCATTGAAAAAATAATGAGAAAAAAAACGAACAATTTCAATAATCCGTCACATTTTAAATGGTAAACAATTTTTGTTTTCTTTTTACTTTTTCTTCATCATCTTATTTTCTTTTTTTCACAAGTTCTTATTTTTTCAAGTACTCTCCCTCTCCCCTTTCCCATTTCTTTTCATCTGGCTTTCTTCCTTAAGGTGTGACGAAAAAAAATTGAATGAAAATTTTAAACGAAAATCATTTTTTTTAGTCAAAGGAAGAAATAATAAAAAAAAATTACAAAAATTTTTCACAATTATTTTAACTACCGTTTTGAAATAAAGAGAGAGAAGAAGAGAAAGAGAGAAAAAACAATAAATGTGGGAGAAACAGAGAAAGAATGAAGAAAAGAAAGACAGAGAAAGACAGCAAAAGTGAGACAAAGAGGAAGACAGTGTGAAAGAAAGAGAGAGAAAATACAAGAAAAAATAACCGGAAATAATTGTTACAAGTTGTCTGTGTGTCTTTATATGTAAATAAAAACTTATTCAAAAGTGGGTTACCGGGAAAAACCACCGGACAATTTTCCACCTTTCAAAAAAAACATTTTTTTTCTTTATCCCTCTTTCTTCCTTCCTTCCTTTATTTATTTATTTATTTTTCAACCAGACGAAATCCCATCCCGTTTTAAACGACAAATAAAAAAAAAAAAGAAAAACATTTTTCCCGTGTAAAAAATTTTTCCCAACATTTTTCTTTTGGTTTTACTACAAAAAAAAAGCGCCGGTTACACGTGAATTTAATCGCCGTGAAATTAATAATGAAAAAAAAAAGAAAAAGAAAATGTTTTATAGCGTTTAAAAGTGAGTAAACGTTCACAATGAAAACAAAAAAAAATTGTTTCAAAACAAAAGCCATAAAAAAAAAAAACAAAATTTATTACCTACGACGTAAAAACAATCATTTTATCTTTCTTAATTTTTTTTGATACCTGAGGTTTTCTTTTTTTACCCAAAACAAAAAAAAAGGTTTCCTGTTTGTTTTCCCATTAAATAATTTTCAATTTGACCTTAATTTATATACACTCTCTCAAACGTACGATTTATTATCATTATTATTATTATTATTATTATCATTCAATTTTGAATAATGAAAAAAAAAAAAAAACGATCTGGAAAGTAAATAAAACGTAAAAAATTTTATTTTTTTTTTCGCAGGGACGAAACGATCGACCAATCACGTCACGTGAAAATTTTTTTAAAAAGAAAAAAGCAGACGATGCAATAGGAAAAAAGGTATAAGAGAGAGAGAGAGAGAGGAAAACAAAAGGGTACGTAAAAACGAAAAAATTTATTTTTTGTACACCTGAAATAATAAAAAAAATTTTTTTATTTCGCGCACGCGTTTCCCCCTCCCACCATTTTCCCGCCAAAAAAACCGGAAACTAACTCTCGAAAAAAAAAAGGGTATGAAAATTTTGTTAAAACAATTCAGTAGAGAAAAGGCTTCCTCTCTTTCAAAGAACAATCACTGAATTAATTTACCGGCTTGCGGCGGATTGCCCAGGCAAAGAACAAAGAATATTCATTTCATTCATTTTACAATTCTATAATTCTCTTCCCCTCCTCCTCCCACTCCCTTTCTCCGCCCCCTCTCACTCATTGTGTTTTTCAAAACTAAATAATTTAATAGGAGAAAGAGAAAAACTTATGTTTTAGTAAAGATAAGAGAGTTAAAGAGAGAGAGAGAGAGAGAGAAACCTAAAAAAAACCCCCATTCAAAATCAGGTATTATAAGATTTATTATAACAAATAAAAAAAAATATGGCCGACGGTTGGTTATTGTTTTATTTTCAATGGCGCGTAATTTAAAATTTTTTTTTTTTTTTTTTTTGAGAAAATGCGGGAATCGAGTGCGCGTTTGCCAAATTTCTCACTCATCGTTTAAACCGTTTAAATAATTTTTATGTATGATTATATTGAAAATTAAAAAAAAAAAAATCGAAAGGTAAAGAAATGAATGATTGAATGAATGAATGAGTGGGAGGGATGTGCACGCGCGTTTCCACACACGTGGAATTTCCAGTTGTTATATTTTATGGAATTTTAGTTTTTTTTTTTTAAAGGAAAAAACTTTTTGTGAGGGGAAATTCAAGTTTACAAAAAAAAAAAAAAGAAAATTTTATAAAGAAAATTTTTAAGAGATTTAACGGCGGCGTTTTGGCGTTTTCTAATTTAAAACTTTCACGTTAAGTGAAAAGTTTTTTTTACGTCATAGGTTGAAAATTATAATTAAATTATTTTTCCAGTTACCGTATATGAAGAGAAACGCGATTCTGGAGAACAAAAAAAAAAAGGAAAATTCTTGAGACGATTATTGTTGCTGGAGAAAATTAAAATATTTTTTTTTTCTTACATCGAAATGAAATTGTTTGTTTGCTTTTTTTACATAGATTTTGTTGTAGTCGTTTGTTGGAAAATATTCGCTAAACAACAACAACAATAAACACAAAGTTTAAACGTTCCAGCAACATCACAAAAAAAAAGTAAAAAAATTTTTTTTTTTTTTAATTAACAAATGAAGTCGTTTAAAAAATGAGTTTGAAAAAAAAAAAAAAAAGTTTCATTACTTTTCATAACTCATTTCCAGGAAAAATAAATTTTCCAAAGGAAAAACATAAAAAATTCTCTTTTTGTTTTTTTTTCTCTTTTGTGTGTACGGTATTTTGAGGTTTAAACAAAAAAAACCAAACCGAGTCGGATAAAAAACTCATTTGTGTAACAAATAAAAAAAACAAGCAACAACACGAACAGGACTTTGAAAAAAAAAAGAGAGAGAAAGAGAGAGTGAAAGCGAGAGGATTTTTTTAAAAATAAAAAACAAATATGGCGGTTTTTTTTGTTTATGAAAAATGAAAGAAACAACACGATTAATGGGTGACTGTCGCCAAGTTTTCCCATTTAAAAAGTCCTCCTACTAAATTTAATTTTTATGTTTTGAAATCTTTTTACTGTCTTTTCCTTTATTTTTTTTTTTTACTTTTTCCCTTTATTAATATAATTCTTCCTTCTCTCTCTCTCTCTCTCTCTCTTTTGCTCTCTCATTTTTTAAACGTTCGTAATAAAAAAAAAAAAAAAATTTTCCTTTTATTGTTGTTGTTGTTGTGAATTCATTCTGCGAAATACGAACTGGAGAAACTAAAAAAAAAATAAATTATTGTTTGCTTTTTTCTCTATTATTATTATTATTATTGCCTTTTTCAATCATATGACATTATAAAAGAGAAAGAGAAGGGGGAAGAGAAAGAGAGAGAGAGAGAAATATTAATAAAAAAAAAAAAATGAGGATTTGGTCTGGATAATAAGGATATTAGTCAACCAGACAATTTTCTTCTAAATTTATCTTTTTCTCTTCATCCTTTCAAACCTTTCAACTTCCCCCTTTCTCCTTCTCTCTCTCTCTCTCTTTCATTTTCTCCAGTTTTCTTTCTTAAAAAAAAAAAAAATTTACTGAAAATTTGTGATAAAATTTTTCTTTTTTTTTTATTATTTTTTTCTTCGAGGTTTTTCCGCTTATTTTCCAAACCAAACATTTTATTTTAATTCTATTTTCATTCTCTGGAAAACAAAAA